AAGTTTTAATTTTTTCTTCATAAATACATTTGAAATCTTTAGTATTTTTCACATGGAATTGCACGCGATGACACTATACAGTTTAAAAATCGAAAATAAATTGAAAAAATTTACGACTTGGGCAGGACTTGAATCGGCATCGTCAGCGTTCCCTGCTTTGCTCTAACCAAATGAACTACCGAGTCCGAGGATATAAATACATTGCTAATATGCTCTGTGTTCGTGGCAGAGTCTGATAACGTTCTGTTTTACACCTAGTTACACTTTTCTCTCAATATGAGAGTAAACAAAAAAAAGTTTTTTTTTAATAATAGAACAAAACAGACAAAGCATTCAGTTCACTTGATAGGTGATATACCCCAGCCCCATAGCATCTAAACAAGATGTGCTGGCGAACTATTTTGGCTTTGGATATTCGGAAATCCACAGACTGAAACCGAAACGCGATTAAGATTTACAGCTTTTTCATCTGTGGACGGTGGTTCGAGACCTGAACGGATTTTTTTTATTCCTACCATCCATTTAAAATACAGGTTTTCAGCTGAAGTCCAACATGTTTTAGGAAAACTATAAATTAAAAAATTTGGAGCCTGGTGGGGATCGAACCCACGGCCCTTTGATCATTACCCGTCAATTGCTACCATTAGACAAACGATCCCGTCCAACTATACCTAACGACACATTAATGTAAAAAGAAAGTAAATACTTTTTGTATAGACAAAGTAGGGATGTTTACCTGATTATTAACCGTTGAGAGGCATTCCAAATTCAAAAATATTTTCGATACTTAAATTTCACAACCTGCCCAGTGTCATTTTTCTTATATTTAAATGTAAAATTTGACATTATAAAAGTAACTTATTTCTGAATTTGAATTTGATTGTAAATTAAAAATTGCTTTAAAAAAAAGACGGAATTCGAATCCACGAAAACCTCGCTCCGTGCAGTTTCTACAACAATTAGCTATCACGTAATGTACATTTTAATCTTAAAATTTACGAATTACGTTGAATTGAATACTGCCCTTCTTAATTAAAAAAAATATATATTATACCAGACGGTTTGTCTAGTAGTAAGATATGAGTTCCTTTTCGTCTATTCCTTTTTTGTTGAATATATTAATCTAAAATAATAGTGTTATTTATTGTGACTTATAAATGCTCTACTGTGCGCGTATATGGCAATTAAATAATTTACTAAGTCGTAGCAGTATATCCTAGTGTGCATTTTTATATTAGTTAAATCTTGTTTACCCTAGCCAGAACTAGTTTTTCCTGGAATCACTGTTTACCGGTAACATTTACAATGATATGATCAAACAGAAGCCAGCGCTGCACAAAGAGATTTTGTATGTTCATCGCAAAGCACTCGAAAATAAAACTCACTGCATCATTATCACCATCCATGATAAACATAATTGTGTACACACTCAAATATACCTGCGTTGTTCATAGTAAATGAAATCTGAACATTATCATATCACGTGTCTAAATAAAAACCATTATATGACAAATTGTAGCCCGATACTTAAGATAATCAAGAATAACAAATCTATCTTAAAATACTGTCTATAGTTTACGCGAGTAGTACATTTAAATAAAACACTTTAACGGTTTAAAACGCGATATATTAGTTAAACTTATTTGAAAAATGATTTTTAACTTTAGTCTCCCCGTGACCACGGCTGCTGCAAAGCATCCGAAACGTCGGGCCGAAGTTAAAAATCATTTTCAAATATATCGCGTTTTAAACCGTTAAGGTGTTTTATTTAAATCTATCTTGATCATTTTTTTGATATTATAAATATTCTACCCTGTTTTTTTACTCCTTTATGAATTTTCCTGTTTTGTCGGGCCCGTTCGTCTAATGGTAACAATGTATATGCATTAACCAACGGGCCGTGGTTTCGATCCCCACCCCATCACAATAATTAGAAATATGTCGGACTTCGTCAGGAAATCTGGATAGTAAATGGGTGGTGGCAATATAGACATTCCGTCCGACCACAGATAAAGACGTATATAATTGCGTGTCGGTGTCAGTCTGTGGATTTCCGAATATCCAAAGCCAAAAAAGGGCGGCAGCGCATCTTGTGTAAATGCTATAGGCTGGGGTAGGTACCACTTACCATCAGGTGAACTCTATGCTTTTCTGTCGTCGCTCTGTCTTTAAAAAAAATACAACAGCTGTTGTGAAGTAAACTAAAAATTGAAAATTGTGTCGATCTTGATATTTTATTTTAAACCATCATGTATCATGTATCATCATACTGTAAAATAATTAAAACAACCAATCGTTTATATCATAGTTCATAGTATATTCTTTTTTATAGCTCGCGTTTCAAACCGTTTTTTTTATATGTATTTGCGTGAATTACAGACAATATTTATTTCTTCTCCCTTAAAGAAAACGCTATTTAGCAAAATGGTTAAACGTGTTGCCTGGCATTGGGTTAAGCGTAAGAGGTCCTGGGTTTGAATCCCGGGTATCAATAGATCGTTTTGCTCGGATAGGACACAGAAGTATGATTAACTTGCTTGTTAGAGAACTAGTAACACGCACACAGAAATGTGTTCGCCCTATGTTCCACGGCGGGAACGTGATTTTACGTTTTCATTTAAAATCCCTTGGACACTCTTCGTTTTTCTGGTTAAGTATTATTAAAAGGCTACCTTGACTCACTGACTGTAGACGTGTAGGTTAATCTGCTGAAAGGATTAAAGAATGTATGTACATCAGCATAGTGTGTTAGACTGTAGGTATTAATAAAAGATTTTTTAAAACATAAAACGTAGATACACCATAGTAACGGGAATTTTTGTACTCATCTGTCGTTTACGCTAGTAGTGAACATTTTATTACAACAATTTTAACGGTTAAAAACGCGAAATATATTCGCTGTTACTTACAATATAATTTAGCTACGGTCCAACATTTCGGATTATTTGCAGCATACATCAGGAAATCATCATACTAAAATAAGTCGGCAGCACAATATCTTGTTTAGATTTTAGACTATACAGAATATACATTCTACTAATATAGAAGAGCCGAGGCCCGACACTGGGAATTGTTATGAATGCATAAAAAATGACTTTGAAATTATTATAACGATGACGGAACAATTTTCACCTCTACTAGAGATACATCAGCTCCAGTTTAAGTGATATTATAATTATGACGATAGTAAAAATTATAGTGTCGGGTCCACCATCAAATTGAAAGAAGATTGTTATTTTTAAAAGAGTAAATGTGAAAACGAAAAAGCATTTTAAATGTTGTAGATAATATTTTACAGGTAGCGCTGAAGCATTAAAAATATAAAACATGATAGTGTATTAACTATATATATTTTATAATAATACTTTCTGTAGCACGGTATACATAAATTTTAAATAAATATTAATTTCACACACCCTTCCAATAAACGACCGTTTCTCGACTTATAATTATGCGAAAAGGCAACAGCTCTACCTCAATTAAAGCTAACTCAAATTCACCTGTATTTCTAAACAATCAAAATAGCTGGCTATTACCTTGTCAACTTTTCATCTACTTAATTACTTAGACTGTATTAATATAGGGGAAAACGGCATAAAAATGGGTCATATATTGGCGAAAGAGCGAGACAGAAAATAGTGCAACAAATTGTGGCATAACGCTGTCTCATTCTAGCGCCGGAAATCAATAATGGCATCTGGCCACGTGGAGCCAGGAAGAGTCCGACTATATACATTGGCCGAATAGCCCAAGAATTGGACAAATCTCTCTTTTATTCGAAAATAGATTTCTTTTACTCCGACATTGGCTAAATATAAAGGCCCGAGAACTATTCTTATTGAGATTAATTTTCGTTCCGTTTTGATGCCTTTTATGCGGAGCGAAATGAAAAAGGCTTTGCTGGTAGAGTCTTTTATACATACACCGATCATTCTAATCATCTAAACAGAAGAATAAACTACAGATAATAAGATAATAATAAATAAAATAACAATATTTAATCTAAAACATAATAAATTCGAATAGCGCTATAATACAAGTGTCGCCATCTACCTTCACAAAGGTAAAGTACTATAAATAAAGTTGTGCTTTAGCGCCCTCTTGTAGGCTTTCTGGAGGTCGGAAGTGAGAAGCAAAACGCTGCTATTGAGATTATACAGTTTCAGTCCATACTCGTTAGAAAGCTTTCTAAAAATGAGTGAGGGCGCTTTGAACATTTTTTTAGCGCCCTCTCTTATTTTTAGTTTTAACATTTTGTTCATAAGTTTTCACTAGAGATGGCGCCACTAAGCGACTTAAAAACGTACTCTACGTTTTGTCAAAATCTCAGCAGAGGGCGGACACGTCTTTAACGACTTACGACAACTAAACGGGTAAATTATTAATTGTTATATGTGTTATTTTAATTCCCAATAAATAACTTGACGTAAATTTCAATTAAAGATATATTTTACAATTCATGCAACAAATGCGCCTAGATGTAAAACATTAAAAGCCTTTAGTAATGGTTTATAACAAAAAACTCAACAAGTATAGGTACACTTATATTATAAACGACTTTAAAACAATAGCTTCAGTTAAATTATTATATTAAATTAAAATTGATTATTTGTAAACTTTTCCAACAAACTTATGATGCAACGACGAGTTTCGGGAAGTTTAAATTAGTTTAAAAACCGTTCCCTATTTTGAGTTTGTTGTATATGTTTAGTTAAATTATATAACTTACTTTGCATTGCCAACGTTTATCTAACCATCTATTTTAGTAAATCGGATTTATATATTTATTTTTTTATTTAACATTCCTTTAGCTTTATCCCAAAAATGGTGTGTTATTTAAGGTTTCACTTAGCCGATACACCGGCACGGTAGAAATATTATATCTTAAATAAAAAAAAAGATATTGTCTTGTCTAACTACGCCTTCTGTCGCTAAAATCATTAGGATACAAACTACCCTCCATAACCCTAATACTTTTACATATAATAATCTCAAATAACTTACATAATGTCTCCGAGTTTGAGACGTGTGTGAATAAGCGCACATGTCTTGTGATCGGAGACAGCGACAGCGGCGCGTCGCCTGCGCATCGGACGCGGCGACGCGGGCGGCGATGACATGTTATCGCGACGCGCATGCACGCCCGGCGAACTGCCACGCCGCCGTACGGACGCATGCCGCCCGCCCACGCCGCCCAGCATCCTGAAATAAGTAATTATAATTTTTAGTAAAATTTTGTCTTCAAACAAAGCACATAGACTAGTTGGGGATATGTTAGTAGAAGTAACAGTTGTAGTTTAAATAGTTTATTATAAAAGTATGTTTAAAATTAATCTTAATCGCATTCTTTATTACTAAAGACCTTCTATGAGAAAGTACTGCCGTGTCGACCAGCTTTTCTATCCTCGTATAGTTGAAGAGCGGTTAATATACTGAGACTTTGCTACGTGAGCCCCGAGGTCTTTTGCCTTAACCTTACCAACAACAACTTGTTGTCGAGTTCTCTAAGGGCAATATGGCCAAAGTATTTAAGGCCTTTTCGCATGTTTAAACACTTTATAGTTATCAAAATATATAATCACAACTAGTAACGCCAACTGCTAGTGCTAATCAAATATGGAGAATATCAAATATCTGTACCAAATTTTAAAACTCCTAACTAGTTACATATATACATATTATATAAATAAATAGTTTTAGAGTAGTTTAAAATGTAAAATAATTCAATATTTCTTAATAAGGAAACTGTAAATATACACTTCCCAGTTGAAGATAAGTTTATGGCATCGCAAATAAAGGCTATTCATTACATGTCATTTCATTCTTTATATGTTGTATATGTAAAGACACTGTTATTAAAGTAAATATACAAGATACAATAAGAACAATATGTAGGCAGCAAAACTCATCCCATTGGGCTTATAATAATATTTTGTTATTTTATGGGTCCTTGGGCTCTTGGCGTTTCCGTAGGGTCACGGGAAACTGTCACTTGCCTAGCTTTCGTATTTATGGTTGATTTAATTAATAGGAAGTTAAATTACTTAGGGAAGAGGTTTTTCCAATAAGTGTAAATTAAAATAACCGTTGTACAAACATTGTATTTATATCATAAATTTACTTATAACTGCCTACGAACTCTCTTACTATAGAGTTAGAGTAAAAATTACTGAAAATTGCATTGTTAGCATTATTACTTTTTTTACCTGGGAGACACTTTTATGTTTGGCGTTGTTCAACATGAATAAATAATAATTAACAATAATTTAAATTTAAAAGCTTAATTTAAACTCCATCGGTTAGAGCATCAGAACGTTACGCTGTGGAGACCGTTTCAAGACCCTGTCGTCAATTTTTTTTTCAATCTTCATACTATCCACATATTCTTTATTAATTATGTATAAAAACTTCTCTTGCCCATACTGTCTCTGTCTGTAGTTTACGCGAGTAGTACACATTTAAATAAAACACTTTAACGGTTTTAAACGCGAACTTTATTAGGTAAACTTACGGCTGCTACAAAGCTTTCAAAACGACGGGCCGAAGTTAAAATAAATTTAACTAATATATTGCCCGTTTTCAACCGTTTAAGTGTTTTATTTAAATTATCTCGTATATGTTAGTAACTTTTTTTACGTTTAACAAAAACCTACTACCTACTCGTTTACTAATTCCTTTGTATTTACAGCCAGTTAACAGCTTAATCAACGCAAATATTTTGTCATGTCCTTTAAAAGGGACAATTTGAAATGAAATTTACACCAAAAGGAAAGATTTGAAGGACGAAACTGGACAAAGTTAACCTGTTATTATTCCAGACTCGATAGAACGGATCGCGGTAATTAACGCTCAATCCATTAGCGATAAGCCATTCTATCCGTGTTTTATTGGTTCGGGAATCCGTCTGCCTTTTTAATTTCAGTAATTCACCGTCTTGCAATGAGGCAAGTCTTTTCTGCCGACACGAATTGAGCGCGCGAGTTCTTCGGTCGCTCCGATTATGCTTTTCACGTTTAGCGTCCGGATTTAACTAATGATCTCCAGTTTTTTACACTAGCTTTCAGGATTTTACTGAGCCTGAACGATAATGCATACCTTTTAAATTTTTTTTTTTTTTAATTAAAGTATAATTATTTTTCAATTCAAACTTTTTCTGTATACACATATGTTTGAACTAATAGACGATAGGCACTTGTTTCAATTCGATTTTTAAAACACTATTTACAAATGACAATACCGTAAAGTCCGATTTACAGTCTGTGGATTATTGAATGTTAAAAGCCAATATAGGTCTATAATGAAGCCAATTCTAGTCTCAAAGTTAAAGTCAAAAATTATTTAGTCGAGTAGGTAACTAGGTAGACTTATGAACGTTACACCTGTTAAAAAAAGACTAAATTTACATTTTGTACCGGCTCTCAGATTAAACTAGAAAAACTGTCAAAAAAACCCGCCGCCACTCCTTCTATGTTTTAGCCAAGTTTTATTTTATAGCCTTCATGTATTTGTCTGTCCTCCACAACAAAGTGTTAGAAACCATAGTTAGGAAAATTTTCACAATTTCCACAACTCTTGAATTAATAATTGTTATGATCGATACCTATTTAAGATTGATGACAACATCTCAGTGAAAATAATAAGGGTCCATATCTAGACGTGACGGGGAAACTTAATTAATTAAATTCAAGTTCTACCGAGTTGTTTAAGAACTTCTGGAACTGTTACTTCAAAAACGTGCAATATTTTAAGTGTAATTTGCTTCGTGTAAAATCTTAACGTTATGGTTTTGAAGAGGGTGAATAAAAAATATGTTTATTAAAGTAAAACATTTTCACAGTTTACAACGCGAAATATATTAGTTAAACTTATGTCTAAATTACTACGACACGACGTCACCAAATACCAACTGCAACGGAACAGATGGCGCTATTGTAGCATTTTTTTCATTAGACAATTTTAGTCTCCTCATGACCACGACTGCTGTAAAGCATTCGAAACGTCGGGCCGAAGTTAAAAATCATTTTCAAATAAAGTTAAAGTGTTTTATTTAAATGTGTACTACTCGCGTAAACTATAGACAGTATTTAACAATAAATATCACAAAGTCGAACCAGTAGTTTCTGAGGTTAGCGCTTTTAAACAAACAAGCTGTTTAGTATTGATGTAGATAATTTTGAAAATATCGTTGTCATTGTATTAGACTTTATCTTGATTTGAGTAAACTCAAATCGCATTTTAATAGCTTATCTTCATATTATTTCGCTGCTAGTTAACTAAGTAATTGTTTTTATTGCCTTAATAAATAAAATCTTTTCAGAATCAAAGCTTTTCAAAAGCTGACGAGTGTGTTCCTTATCCGATTTAAAGTGCTTTGAAAGCTTAATTAAGCGCATCATACAGCGTTGGCCACAGTCTCATTATCGTAGTAGTGGTTAGTTAATGGAATTCCCACAATCTATTAGTTCAACAATTATACGATCTACTTTGCTTAATATCCAGCGCAAAACTATTATTTTCATAGTTTCCTGCATAATCTATGCAGCTCACTCTCTTACACTACTAACTATTTCTGTGGATATATAGATAAAAGGAAAAACTGTATTTCTCTTTTTTATATAGTCTGAAAAGTCTAGACTTAAACTTTAACTAGTACAATTTTGTAATCAGTCTTTTAAATATTTCGTACAATAAAAATGTCTAATATATTATGATATAAGTATTGTCTGTAGCTTAAGTAAGTAGTACAAATAAATAAATCACTTTAAACGTTTATAGTTAAGTTCTTTACGCCTCGATTCTTTACGATACAGACGTCTCCCCTGTGACCACGGTTGCTGGGCGGTAGTTAAAATAAATTGTAAGGAAGTTTGTTTGAAAAGGGTTTTTATTTAAATGATACAAGAATTATATTGCGTATACAGTCATTAAATAACAATAACTCAAAAATACAATGTTTCATAAATAACTACTCTATAGACAACGAAGAAAATTTCCTATAAACATTTATTTATCTATTGACAAATATCAACTGTCATAACAGACGGAATCCAATACGACAAGACTTATCAACTAATGTATCCAAAACATTAAAAACAATATGTATTAGAAATAAGACTAAAAATGTGTTTCACCCTATTTTGGACTGATTGCGAATGCGTTAAACATTCACAATTATTCAACAAGAATTATTTAAACAATTACTATGTACCATTTAATCTAGCTGTTATCACATCTAGCTGTGCCAGGTAATTCGTCCGCGTAGAATAGTGATTTAGGTCATCCAAATTAGTTTTTGCAAACCTCCTTCACATCTTCTGTGCCCATGACGTCGGTCGTGCACAGTCGTAATTGCAAGTTAAGTTTTAAAGATAGTGTTGAGGACATTTTTTTTTTTAATAATTTAAAGAGGAATTATTCTGTGATACATATTTTCTGTGTGTCTTGAACTGTTTTCGCAGTGAATGCACCGGAAACTCACGTTTTAAATGGTTAGTGTTTTATTTAAACTAGTATAAACAACTAAAGGGACTTAAAAGTGTGATAAAACAAAAAATATATTAGTATATTATTTTTTATATAGTTTAACAACGGTCCCAGGTTTCGGGTGCTTTTCAGCAGCTGTATTAACGTGGGTAACGTTAAAATAAATTAGAAATTAGTAAAATAATATATTTCGCTTTTTAACCCGTTTAACGTAGTTTATCTAGATGTTAATTATTCGTTGACTACAGACAAAGCTTAACAGTGTGTTACTTCGTGTTTTCGACTAGAAAATGACAATGTAAGCGAACATACAATTTTACTATCATTTACAGCCTAAAACGATTATATCGTTAGGCATTTTATGGGATTTAAACACTACTTTGCAATAGCTGTCATTAAAACACAACATATCATTAACTCTACACGTCATGTATAGACTTTCTATCAGCTGATAGTTAAAACGCTGTTTGTGAACGCACTTTGAAGACGACAGACCGACGTCCGTTGAAACTTCACATTAAGTACATAGCTTGATGACAAGCACTGGGTTCGCGGAAATCCACAGACCGAAACGCAATTAAACTTCACGCTTTCTTATCTGTGGACGGTGTTTTCTGACATGGACCGTTCCATTTTCCTACCACCCATTCAACGAAGTCGAACATGTTCAAAAAAAAGTAATTTGATTGACTATCAAATACTGTCTGTAGTTTACGCG